TCTGAGTTAGTGTTTATCTTTGTTGCAGAGGTGTGTTTCTTGGATGCAGCAGAATGTTGGATCTTGTTTTTGCAACCATTCTGTTAGTCTGTGTCTTTTTATTGGAGAGTTGAGTCCATTGATGTTGATAGATACTAGTGACCAACATTTGTTACTTTCTTTTGATATTAGGTTGGTGGTGTTGCTGAGTTTCATTGCCTCTGTTCTTTTGTGTTTTTTTTTTTTTGTTGTTGTTGTTGTGTAGTTATCTATTTCCTCTGTTTCCTTAGATGTATTTGTTTTCTTTAGCTTGGATTTTTTCTTCTAGTATCTTCTGTAGGGCTGGGTTGCTGTGTAGATATTGTTTAAATTTCGTTCTTTTATGGAATATTTTGTTTTCTCCATCAGTGTTGATTAAAGCTTTGCTGGGTAGAGTAGTCTGGGTTGACATCTGTTGTCCCTTAGCGTCTGCATGACGTCTGCTTAGGCCCTTCTGACTTTCATAGTTTCTGTTGAGAAGTCTGGTGCGATTCTGATAGGTCTACCTTTATATGTAACTTGGCCTTTTTCTCTTGCTGCTTTTAATTTTTTTTGTTGTTGTTGTTCTGTAGGTTTAGTGCTTTGACTATGATGTGATATGAGGATTTCTTTTCTGGTCTAGTCAATTTGGTGTTCTGCCAGCCTCTTTTATGTTTATGGACATCTCTTTCTTTAAGTTGGGAAAATTTTCTTCTATGATTTTCTTGAAAATATTTTCCCGACCTTGGAGCCTGGAATCTTGTTTTTTTATCTAGTCCTTTTATTCTTAAATTCAATCTTTTCATGGCATCCTTAATTTCTTGGATGTTTTGTGTTTGGGATTTTTCTGATTTTACTTTTTCTTTGAGAATAGTATCAATTTCTGCAAGTGTATCTTCAGTACCTTAGAGTCTCTCTTCCATCTCTTGTATTCTATTGGTAATGCTTACCTGTGTAATTCCTGATCTTTTCTCTAAGTTCTCCACCTCCAGGGTTTTCTCTGTTTGTGATTTCTTTTTTTATTCTAATTCTGTTTTTATGCCTTATATCATTTCCTTCATTTGTTTGAATGTGAATTCCTGTTTTTCTATGATGGTTTCTAATTTTTTTGTTCATTTGGTTTTTTTTGGGGTTTTTTTTTGTTATTTGTTCATTTGTCATTTTTTGTTATTTGTTCAAATAGAGGCCACGACCTGTGCCTCTATTTGTGCTTCTATTTGTTTGTCTGTATTTGCCTGTATTTCTTTGAGAGCTTTGTTCATTTCCTTTTTATTTGCCTGCATTTGTGTGGCTATTTCTTTGAGAGCTTTGTTTGTTTCCTCTTTATGTACCTCTATTTGTGTGGCTATTTCTCTGGGATATTTGTTCATTTCTTCTTTATGTGCCTCTAATAACTGGATAAGCATAGCTTTAAAGTCATTTTTCTGTGTTTCTGATGAATTGAAATATCCATTGATTTTTGGGGTTGGTGAAGCCGTGATGTCCTGATTTTTGTTGGGTGTGTTCTCACGCCAACCTCTGGCCATCTGCCTATCTATAACCTTCACTGCTTGTTCCTCGATTCTCTACTTCAGACTGGGTTTGTCTTTCTCTGGTGGAGTATTCTTCAGGAAGATGAGAGACGTCCACTGGTTTGAGAGTGTGTGTTGGTGTTTCAGCTGTACCTTAGGGAGGAAGATCCACTGGTGCAGATGCACAATTGAGGGCAAGCAAGCATGCGTATGTGTGTGGAAGTGTGTCTTGAAGGACAGAGTGCTAGAGAGTGTAGATGCTTGGAATGTGGGGAGGGGTGCAGGCACAGGAGAGGGTATGGATGCTGGCACTGTTCATGGGCACAGTTTGTGGGTGCTGTTTGTGGGTCAGTGAGCATGCACATATTTCCTGAATACCTCAGTAGTCTAGAGCCCTGTCATACTGTCCTTCTGGTATTCAGATCTGTCTGTGCTCCAGGAGTTGTTTCCCTGGACTTTACTGGTAGACCTGCAGAGCAGGGGCTTCAATGTTGAGAACTCTGTCCCAAGAATCCCTAAGTTGCCCACAATGAGGCTGTGGGTAGTAAGGATCCTATGGCTGCTAGCATAAAGGGACCCTTGTTTTGAGAATCTGCAAGCACTCTCTTGAAGGTGCACTCACTCTCCAGCAGGACCATTCAGAAAGCACAGGGGTTCCCCCTGTTCTCTACTCTCAGATTTGATCCTCCTGGGGTGAATGTGAGTGTAGGTGATCTGTCAGCTCAGTGGTGATGCAGCTGCAAAATTTGGGAGCTGGTGTTGTGGTCCACTGATAGTCCAGCCTCCATGGCAGAACTAGGAGGCCACTGGAACAGATACCTTCTGGAAGGCCCTGGGAAGCCCTGGACCTGGTTGGCCTGGTGGAGCCACCTGCACCGAGCTCTGTGCTAGGAGCCGCATGAGGGCACTGCGTGCTGGGCACTGCACCCTGTGGCAGGGGTGCTGTGGGCTGCCTCCTCAGCCTCTGCCTTCGCTAATGAGGGAGTAGGGAGGGCCCAACAAGGAAGAGCTGAGGTATTATGTATTCTCTGTCTCAAATCTCAAGCAGGGGATTCTGTGCTAGGAGAAGCCAGCACTGTGCACTATGCTAGGAGCCATAGGTACTGCAGGCCACCTCCGCTGCCACCTCAGCTGCTGCCTCAGCCAAGGAGGGAATAGGGAGGCCTGTCAAGGGGAAGTGCCTGGGGATTGAGTCCCCAGGAGAAGTTTGCAGAGAAGTTCGCAGTTGACCTGAATCCAAATGGTCACAGCTCATGGTTGTCCCCTTTCTCCTAGGAAGCCTCAGTGTCAACGTTCTGGAGTTAGCTGCTCCTCCACTTTCCAATTTCTGAGTTTCAGATCCTCTGTCCCTCAGATATGGTGCGCACTGGTTTCCACCATCTTGAATCTCCTGAAAGTCCATCTCTTAAGATATTGAGTTTAAATATATGTGTGTTATTCTGCTACATTCTAAAAACATATACATTATATTATCCTACTGTCGTGTATGTAGTTGTTTTATAGTTAAGGGTAGACATGTTAAAATAGATGTGTCTTGGTAGATTATTATGCATTAGCTTCCTACAATGATGTCTGTAGCAAGCAGTAACTGTTAATTCAGTTGGTATGGAATGCTTGAACTAGAGCTTAGATGGCATCTTTAAATTTTGAAATGCTCTACCACAATGAGGCAAAGGTTAAAATGATTCATATGGATGTTTAAGTTCTGAAAAGCTATTAGCTGTAAAAGGATAAGGAATGGAAGCTCATAAGTGTATAATTCTGAATGAATGTTGGCTAGAGATACAGAAGTGTTAAATATATATCCCATTATATCTTTGTGCTTACTTTACTACCTCACTGTTTCTGTTCATTGATGGAATTCTATGCCCAAAATTATCTTTATATTCCTAGACTGTCTCCTGAATTCCTTGTTGTATTTTCACTCATTACACCTGCTCTGACATAGTCTACACATACATGGAAGTCTTCCATGAAGTCTGTTGTTTTGAAGTGTTTCATTTCATAGAGCTCTTTATTGAAGCACAGAATTTTGCATGGGAAAGACATCATGAACTTTGTTTTAGTCTGTCTCTTTCTCTCTTTGTGTATACTCATGTTCATGTATGTGGAGATCAGAGGACACCTTGGAGGAATTGGTTCTCTCCTTCTACCACATGGGTTTCAAGGAGCCAACTCAGGCCATCAAACTTATTAGCAAACTTCTGTATCTACTGAGCCACCTCATTGACCCATATACAACTTTTAAGAGCAATTTACTATTTATTGAAGTAAGCCTTTTTTTTTGTTTTTAAACAAAGACTGTGGGAAACATTTACATGGAATCTAAACAAGTAAAGGATGGAGTCTGCACTTGTTTAACAGCAGTGTTTAATTCCCTATACTCAGCTTTTCTGCAAAGCATCATCTAGTCATTCTTAGAACTTAGGGGTATGAAAATGTGCAGGTTGAGACCCACTGTGTTCACATTAGGCATACATTAGGTATCCCTTAGTTATGATAATATTTTTAGGATCATGTGATTTCCAGTCAAATAATCTATACTACATTGTTCCATTTAAACCGTATTTTTTTAAATTTTATTTTTTTCTTATCAGTTACATTTTATTAACTCTGTATCCCAGCCGTGTCCCGCTCCCTCATTCCCTCCCAGTCCTTCCCTCCCTCCCTCATCTCCACCATGCCCCTTTCCAAGTCCACTGATGCAGGGGACCTCCTCCCCATTCATCTGATCCTGTTTTATCAGGTATCTTCAGGACTGGCTGCAAGGCCCTCCTCTGTGGCCTAACAGGACTGCTCCTCCCTTAGGGGATGGGGACGCCAAAGAGCCAGTCATTGAGTTCCTGTTAGAAATAGTCCTTGTTCCCCTCACTTTGGGAAACCAATTGGTTACTGAGCTACCACAGGCTACATCTGAGCGGAAGTTCTAGGTTATATCCATACATGGTCCTTGGTTGAATGTCAGTCTCAGAAAAGACCCTGTGCCCAGATATATTTGGTCCTTGTGGAGCTCCTATCCTTTCTCCATCACACTAACTCCCCTTCTTTCTTATGATTCCCTGTACTCTGCCAAAGTTAAACCGTATTTTTAAAGTGTGGATTTTATATATTTGTTGTCAAGAATGCTGTGCAATCACCTTCAAATCATCTTCACTTTTCTAAATGCAGTTGTCATGACTCCCTCACTAAATGTGAATGAATATTTGGGACATAAATAACTTACATATATATTTTTTTATGATGTGTGTATTGAGGAATTATAGTTTTGTCTTCTTTTTGGAAATTGTTTTTATACTATATTTAACAACTGATCAAATAGGCATCGTCATTTTATGCTTATCGTGGTTCAGAGCCCTTAATTGCTTAGAAAAAAATGCATAAGAACATTAGTTTATTTTGTAGATTATGAACACAAGCATAAGAATAATACCTAACTGAGTAATGTCAGTAAGTGTAAGCCCACACTTTAAATTTATGTTTCTTTTCTCATAGGACCTGCAGCATACAGCCCTGTTATAAGGAGGTCTTGTGCCATAATCTCATTTATTAAAGGACCAAAACGTTTTGGACAAATTCCTGAGAGGTCTCCTGGCCCAACGACATATGAGGTTTGTCAGTGCTTGCTCTCAGCTATGACATGAATAGAATGAGTTCTAGAAAAGTATACAGCATGTGCACACTGAGTTCTTCCTATGAGTTTATTGATATTACTGACTAATGAATTTTTTTACTTGACTAAGATAGTTTTGAAGATGTATTTTGACATTTTAAGAAAAATTATTGAAGAATTGTAAATTTAACAGTGTGTTAATTTTACCTATATCCTCTATAACACTGACATATAAAACATCTATTTACCTATAAATTTAAAATATTGGATTTTTTTATTTTTAATGTATATTTATATATTTACTATTTTAATATGTTTTATTTGGCTTCATAATGATTGAAAGTCTTCCAAGCTGAGGGCCTTCTGAGAGTATGACTTAAATCTGTATAAACATGGAGGGAATTGTGCTTGTATTAAGTCTTTATAATCCTTTTAGGTGTATTTTATAGGATATATGATGAGTATTTGTAATGCTCATCATATATTACAAATGCTCATCATATATCCTATAAAATACAGGCTTCAGTGATGCTTGTAGGCTTCAGTGTTTACATTCTGGGTCAGGGTTACCTGATATGGCTCATGAGAAGTGAGTCTTAACCAGGCCAGATGGAGGAGTCTCACAAGACCAAGGCTGAGACAAGTTTACTGCAAACAGTCAGACTTTTATTCCCTATCAGAAACAGGATATGATGGTGGTTGCCAGATCAATACAATGGTAGTTGCTAGGAGTGAATGATGTTTTCAAGCTATATAGGGTAGACAAGATTAATGTCTCAGACCCATTGTCCTGTCAAGCATCTGTATGCTTTGTTGGCTTCTAGGGAACACAGAGAATCACAAGGCAGCCTGCAGGTTTCACTGCCTGAGGGAGTGCCTTCGTTTCTTAGAGCTGAAAGGCACAAAGTGCCCCAGGAGCATAGACTCTAACTGAAAAACCCATGATGCATACTTCTCAAGGCAGTTATACCAGGCCAACTCCATGATTCCCCACAGTCACTGGTATTAGTTATTTGTGTGTTTGGTATAGGGATCATCTTGTCTTCTGCGTATAGTCTACTTCCAGTGGAATGAATGCCATGGCTTCTACATGCTGTGTGCAATACAAATGAAAACATCCCTGCTGATTTTGTAGTCCCACTTTCATGGCATGTGTGTCACAATTGTCCCTTTATATATCTTTATTAGTAGAGTAGTGTTCTTAGAGGTAGTATATACTTTTGGCTCATATTTATGTCCATTCTTCATAAATCTTTAAATGAAACTGTTTAAAATTATATTTTTATTCAAAGCTATTATTTGACAGGTAAGTCCCTTTTCTTGGAATTTTAAAACTTTTTCAGGATGCTTTACATGTCCTTTGCTTCTTTCTTTGGTATTTTTTATTTGGGGTTAAGCAGTATGCATTGTAAGTTCTGATCCATTTATATTCTTTTTGGTGTACTTAACAGTGACTTTTGCACTTTGTATATTTTAATGACGTTAATTATTATTATTATCCTTTTCTTTCCAAAGTAGGGCTCCTTTACACCTTTTGTACCAGGCTCCTGTTATGATGATGATGTTCTTCTGTTCTTGATTTATTTCTCTAGTTCTGCATAAGTTCACATCTCATTTTCTTTAAGAGGAGTTGTTGTTTCGTTTCCTTAAGATCTTGAGTCCCTCAGGCCGCCTGTTCCTTGTCTGGGGAGAACTGGCTTAGTTTCTTTGAGATTCCTCTGTGTGTTACTTGTTGTTTTTCTGTTTGTCTTGGATTTTGAGCTTCTGATTATAATAAACCTTCAAGATAACATTTTGTCTGAATGTAACTAAGAACTTTTGTGCTTTGTGGACCTACATGCCTATTTTTTTTATGGTATGAGCAATTCTCTCCTATTATTTAATTAAATAGGTTTCCTAAGCCCTTTTATCTCTTTCATTTTGGATCATTAGAAATAAGAATATTTATTTACTGAAGGTATCTTATGAGAATTTCTTCATTATTTTCTTGTGTGGCATTCGTTCATAAGGGTTATGTCTCAAGACCAATTACCTACCAAATATCTCACTTGCTAATTTTCTCCTTGGGGGTTAAGATTTCAGCATATGATTTGACAGGGCAGTGTGCCAAGGTTGTTTAAGGTTAGAGGTGTGGAAAATTAATTTTTTAGGGAACTTGAGAGTCTGTATTGATTCCAGAGAATCACTTTCAAGATGCAAGGAGACATTCTTACATATCTAGAGTTCTGCTTTTAGCAAACTGGCTCCATTTTCTCTATTTAGCCTATGTATGTTATTGTACAATTACATTATAAAATGAGTTTCATTGCTTAAAGATGAACGAGGAAAAATTTAAAACTATATGTATGAAAAAGAGTTTTATTTGATTAAGAGAAAAATGAGAAATCTTAATTATTTGCAACAAGGATAAAAACTATCAGAAATAGGGATGCAAAAAGGTATTTATAATGGGACTTGTCTATTGAAAGACCCATGAGTGCCGTTATTATTATTATTACTATTATTATCATCTTATGGTTATATCAGTTCATTTCTACCTTATAAGTACTGATTCAATTTGATCTAGACCCTGAAAATCTAAAACAAAAAATATGTTCTTTGAAGTCTGTAGCAATCTAGTAAGGAAAATATGTAAATATTTCAATTATAATACAATATTTACAATTTGGAGAATAGATGAAGAATATAAAGGTGTGTGCAGTAAGGAAGTCAGTCAAAAAGAGTTAATTAAACTTGATATTTTTTATAAAATATGAAAATATTATGGAAGTTTTCTCTTTAGACAAGCCAAAAAACATGATATAGAGAAATAAAATGATACATACAAACCTACTAGAAATTTAAAATATACAAAAGCTGTTATTTTTCTTTGTACTTAAAATGATTTGTTGGATATTGGGTCTGTATGTGTATAAGAATGCAAAGTGTTAAAATACTGTTTGTCTCCTCTCTGAACTATAGACATTGAAGATTTCTGAGTAAAATTGCTACTAGATATTAGAAAACACTGAGAATTATAGTAATATGGATGAAATAAAATCAAATTTAATTTTTAATATTTAAAATATGGCTTTCTTCCATAATTTCCTGCTAAATTATGAATGAAAAAATAAATCACACATACATACACATATGCTCACATGACTTTGATATTGAATAAAGAATAGTTCAAAGACATTTCACCCAAATATGTGTATTAAAATGTGCAGAAATGGTTTATTAACATATTTTTCAAAAAAATCTGACAAACATTGATCCTAAAAGTCTGGGCACAGGGTTTTTTTTTTTCTGAAACTGATACTCCAGCCAGGGACTACTCATGGAGATGGCCTGGAACCCCTGCATAGAGGTAGCCCATGGCAGTTCAGTATCCAAGTGGCTTCCATAGTAATGGGGACAGGGACTGTCTCTGACATGAACTGATTGGCCTGCTCTTTGATCACCCCCCTCCTCTCCAGAGGGGAGCAGCCTTACCAGGCCACAGAGGAAGACAATGCAGCCACTCCTGCTGAGACCTGACAGACTAGGATCAGAGGGAAGGGGAGGAGGACCTTTTTTTTCAGTGGACTGGGAGAGGGACAGGGATGGAGAAGAGGGAGGATTGTGTTTGGGAGGGGAGGAGGGAGGTACAAGGGGGATACAAAGTGAATAAACTGTAATTAATAAAAATAAAAAAATGGTAAAAAAAAGTCCAATCTGATTTGAAGTTTTTAGGTCAGCGTTTCATAATCCTTGGAAATATGTCTTAGAGTTTTGCTTTTAGGACTTGCACTTCAAGCATAAAAATCATCACTTACTGCTTAAGGAGAGTTCTTAAATTCTACCTGTCATTCCTCACGATGCGATTTGATGCGCTGGGGTAGGTTGGCTGCAGTGCTCTTCTCTTCTGAGGGGTAGGACAGTTAGTGTAGGGATTAAGAGGCAGGGAGGGTGGGGGGATGAGAGAGGAGGGACAGGGCTATGACTGGGATGTAAAGCGAATAAATAACTAAATTAATTTTAAAAAGAAGGTATCCGACTCTCTGTGCACCTTGGCCTTCCTTTAGTTCTTCATTTGTACTTAACACAGCTTAGTTTTACTATTCCTTCAATTTATTCAATTTTATGCATTTTGGGGAGCTTAAGTTTTCTTGTAAAAAATATAATCTCAGCCTGTCATTGTGGGAATCTGCCCCAGCCCAGAGTATGATGTGCTGTGTGTTGTGCCAAGACATTTAAGTGAGTCATTTCAGTAGCTCTTGTATTTGAAGAAAAATGGAAAAGTGGATCCTAAAGACAAAATTCTAATTTAGAAGATTGGTTGATTACATGTTTCATGTTTTTACTGGAGTTATGAACTCTCCTTGTTATTTTTAGATGTATATCCATACATGTGTGTATATGTACACACACACGTACACACACACACACACCCTACTGAGTTCATTTAGCATTGTGCGTATGTACGTGTGTTTAATACTAACTACTTGCGACTGGGCAACATTGTGGCTCTTCCCTGAATAAAATAATTCTCCATCTCTCAACAGCCGCTGTCTGCCTGTAACTCCTCATCTGAAGGTGAGGCCTTATGAACTTTCCCCTTCAACATTGGCACGTTACCTGGAGCTGTCACACTGCAGCCATATGGTTGAGGTTTCATGGATGGAACCTTATTGCCATGTCTTCATGATATTATGCCAAATCAGGTGTTCTGATCGTGTGGCTCTTACACTCTTTGTTTCCCCTCTTTCAGGATGCCCCCTGACTGTCATGTGTGTACATGTGTGACATGTCATGTTTTGTAGTTGTGTCTGTTGACGTTGGGCACCTCACAGCCACATTTCCTCTGGGTTTTGAACAGCTTTGGATCTCTGTGATGGCCAAGAAGAAGCTTCTTTGATGGAGGGTGATAGCTAAATGAGCTGTGGGTAGAAGGATGAGTGTTTATAATAGAGTTAGAAATCGTGTTGCTGTAGGAAAAAGGTAGCAATAGATTCTCCTCTTTGGTCTATGACCATT